AACAACATTCACTAGTATTTGTACGATTCTTATGACGAACCATTTACAGTAGAGTTTGTAACGTAAACACATTAGTTTATTACTCCGAACGAATTAGAAAACATCAAATTTCCAGGAAAGTACTTTTAAAAAAGGCTGTAATAAAGGAATGGAAGAAAATACCACCTCGAATAACTAATAATTTAGCTAATTTAATACTTAGAAGAGTTGCAATAACAATTAATGAAGATACTCTTCAATGATGCGATAAAGTTCGGCTCGTGGTGCCGTGCCCGTTCCCTGGCCTCGCAGTGTCAGTTCGTTAGGTCCCTCCGACCCCTCCTACGCGAGATGACACTTTCAAGTGGGTTGTGAGTAGAGCTGCCGGAGACCGAATAAAGACCGAATATTCAAGCGGCTTTCAAGCCGAGTTAAGCCGGGACCCGATTTCCGAGCCGAGTCAGTCGATTAATTTTAATTATTCGTGTAATGTAAATTCTACATATCACGCTGTTACACAGCAGAAAAATCTTAAATTAGTCGATATTATATCGTGTTTGGTACAATTTTCATCAATATAACATCAAGAATTCAGTATTGCAATTTGTTTCTTTAACTTTTATAAAACACAACAAAAAGTGAACATATCATGACAAACATTTCACACTTTATTGCTCGGACCCTTTGAGGTTCGTCGTGGGTTAAAGTCGACACACGTACGCTTTGGATGGTGCCACCCTTGGTTTATGGCTTTCAGTAATCACACGATTTCATTTCATATGCATCATATTATTACGGGAGTAACGCTGATGGATTCCTTACGTTTTCCTGATGAAAACACTACTAAACACTAGGTAAATCGGACTATTTTTAACGAAGATAGGCAAAAAGCGTGCAAATCATTTTTTTCGTATAATTTCCTTCTAAATAATCTGAATTGTATCGTGTCTGGTACCATTTTCATCAGGATAACATAAGGAATCGATTGGTAAAACATCCGTTAAGATCCGAAAAGAAATACGGAAAATGGTAGTTGACCTTCTTTGGGTCTAGTTTGCTACGTCCTTTTTATGATACCATTGTTGCCCGGCGGCGGACTAACATGTGTACTCGGAAAAGCTTGAAACCATTCGATTTGCCGGGTTCTTTCGGGCCGCTTGGTTTTTTTGGACCGCTCGATTCTATTCGGGTAGCTTGAAAAATTCAAGTTACTTGGTTTCTTTCGGGTAGCTTGAATCTTTCAAGCTACTCGTTTTTTTCAAGTACTCGATTCGGCTTGATTTTTTCGGGTACTTGAACAGCCCTAGTTGTGAGCCGAATGTTACACCATAATATGATTCTATCCGAGATATTGGCGAGATACTCATACAAATAATAATTCATTGATAAACTTTCTTATTTTAGACTTTGCTTTAATTAAATTTTTACCGACGTATTCGCGAAATTTTTCTGATTTCAATGATACAACATGAAATAAAATAAAATGAAAGGAAATTAACAGAAATACTATCATGTTCATAACAATCTGAAAGAATGACAAAACTTTCATGTTTTAAACACCTATTTGGTAGAAAATAGGCAACGAACGTATATTATTGTAACCTGTTTATTGGACCAATGATAATTTTGTATTGCATCTTGTATAATAAATGAATAATTTTCGGCAAAATCTCTGATGACAACAAACTCATCGGGATTTAAACTTCCTTTTGAATATTTCAAATAACTACTTCGACTTTTTGCTATGAAATCATGGACTTGCAATTGCAACATTTTGTTTTCTAATTCATTAAGAAATGCTGGTATTGAATATTCTATAGGCTCTAAATTAGATCTATCGGTACTTGTCCCTTTGTTGCATGAAATAGGTACAATCGAATGATTTTCAAATATACCTTGCAATAGTTTACGAATGGGATTAAAATTGCTCCATTTGAAACATCACAGCGCATATTTGATAACATTTCTTTATATGTGCATGGAAAATTACAAGATGTAGGAATTAATTTTTGCAGTTTGGCACCATGAAGCATTAACTTTACATTTTGATGCATTACACATATACACATATATACACAGAATGTGTTCCACAGGTTCCGACTATTACATATTCTTTTGGAAGAAACTGAGCAAATTTACTAAAACCAATTTTTATAGATGGATTTTGTTCTTTAAAAAACAAAAAACGACAAAACTCACAATTTTTTAGCATTAACCCTTCAGCACCGGGCCTGGGTCATCTTTCCGTCGTTTTTCGAAGTCCTATTCCTCTGTGATCGAGAGTGTCGAGCCATGTGTTTACATTGTAACTCCATCTGTAGTAATCAGCTCTCCCCACTATTCTAACTGTTAGCGACAGAAATGTTTCGAACTTTATTGCAAAAGAAGTAGTTTTCGGGAGAAAATATTAACAAAAACAATTGGTTACGAGGCATTATTAATATGATTATAGTGTTTGCATATAAAAATTTGATTTTAAGCCTTCTTTTGTAGCGCGTATGGACTTGGATTTCGATGCCTGAATAGTGACCCGGCTTCGTCGTTCATGCGACCGCCCGGTGTCCGAGGGTTAAATTGTAAATAACAAGAAAACGGAACTAATTCTGTGTAATAATCATTTTATTTTATAACAATTCCCCATATTCCAAAATAATTTTATTGTAAAAATTAAATACAAGTATAACATAGTTTTATAAATATGTTGCTTATTTCCCATTATTAAATTTATATTTAGAGATACAATATACAGATAACAATATACAGACGATATAGAGTTCTCTCGCAATGCGAATAGTAAAACGCTACAAGGTTCGGGCCGATATATCGGCTCTGGCACTTCTCGCCAGTGCAGCAAAGGCCGATATATCGGCCCCCAGCACTGAAAGAGTTAAAAGAAAAATATATGACCGCGGGCATTTTTTAAACTTACTACGGTACTGAACCATACTGAAAAGCGTCTTTAGACAACTGGCACAACACCGCAAAGGAGACGACAGCAGCGCTGCAGTGGACAGCGCGAAAGCGAAGCAGCCATATTGTCATACAAATTTTTTGCCAGCAATCTAGTAGTTCTCCTACTTTCCGTTGGTGTCGCCAGCTTACTATATAGTAGTTCACCTCCACTCCGTTAGTGGCGCTAGTTTACCTTCTGCACCCTTAAACTAGCTGTAAAAGATAAATTAATGAAACCACAAAGTATCAGGTTCATCCATATTAAATCTATTGTTTTATAGACAAAAAATACTTACATACCTGAATTTCTACTTCTGTGAACCCAAATAAGGTTAAGCACACAAAATCAACAACAAGCTGCTGCGAGAAATTTCATCGAACAGTTTTACCAGAGATGGGCAAAACTCTAGGCTTCGAATAAATCTGAAGTTTGCCGATGTGTTTCTCTCGTTTCTTCCTCTGGGAAATGTTCGAAAGAGGAAAAGAGACAAACATATCGGCAGACTTCAGATTTATTGGAATCCTAGGGTTTTGCCCATCACTGAGTCTTACATATGTTACGCTATCACGTGAACTTAGCTTCATGGCATGTAGCCCCACACCGCGGAATAGCTTAAACACTACCGCATGTAGTATATATTTATATTCAAATTAGTAGCGGAATTCAAATGGATTAACGCATTGAATCAACGAACCGCTACGTACATTGTTAAAACATTCAACGTGGGTGATCAAGCGTGGGAAAGCCAAAAGTCAGGAGAGAAAAGGGAACGTTCGCTGAAAATACTTCATAGATTCATTATAGGTCGTGTCGAATAGCCTTTTCCGTTGGAATGCATTTCTTTAGAATTCGAGTCGAGTTAGCTTTTGTTCCAGCTCGTAAGATCCTTGAAAATAACAAACTCGCGCTGTACCTCGGTTCGCGTTTCCGGCAAATTCTTCAAGAGGGTAATGAATTTACTTAAGAGTTGCTGTGTTTCGCTGGCGCTTTTTCTCTCTCTTTAGACCTTCGCGCTTTCCCTTTTCACATGTACCCCTGCACAAACATGACCGCGCGACTCCCACCTCCACCCGACTCGGGCGTGGATTCGAGATCGATGAAGATCACCGATAGAAAGAGTAGGGCGCAACCCCCGATTGAACCAGGACAACCCGAAGGGAGGATCGGGAATCTTCCAGGAGAAGGGAGAGAAGCAGCAGATCGAGCGAAGATTTTTCCAGAGTGTCCAATCATAATCGAACCTCCGGTAACGAACTACGAAACGATTTAAACCAAACAAGTTGACTGCATAAACGTCTTTACTTTTTTCATAAAAGTATTTCGAATTTTATTTTACGCGCTTCTCCGGGCAGACCAAATTCCCTATCACCACACGACGCGTTCCGCAACATATTTTTGGTGACAGCGGTGGGATTATTCAAATAAATTCGATTCACAAATGTAGTTGGAGTGATTGTGACGGATTTTTGAATTTTCTAAATAACTGCCGGGTCGCGAGTGCGCGCTTTAATAACAATCGAAGGTTTTACGAACTATTCTATTGAACATTTGCAATATAAAGTGGACATCAGAATCAGTGCATCCTCTCCCTCTTGGGTTTTCGCACGGTTTCCCCAAGAGCAAGGGTACATACCGGAGACGGGTGATCATCGCTGAACGAGACACGAGGGAGACTTCACGCAACAGGGGCATCGTCGACCTCGAGACCCAAAGGACTTTCCTTGTCCAGGACGGAGACCAGCCAGCTCAAGGTCCGACGACGACCAAAATTGGAGCAACTGCTGTGAAGAGAAGCGAACACGCGAGCGTTAAAACGACCTTATAGTAGACCTTAGCCAATCGTCAACAAAATTTGTATGTCCAGACTGTTAAAAATGATTTTGTTACAATCTTTATTAGTTGCCAGGCCAAAATGCCGCCATTCTTGAAAAAATTAATAAAGACCAAGAAGTGCCTGCCACTGCGTGGTGGTGTCGAGTTTTTTTATAGAGGACATAACAGTAGAATCCCCCAGCGTAGGATCTTCCTCTTCTTCTGTTGATAATATACCTCGAATAAGCGAGTCTTTCGTGATTTCTGATCTGCCTGCGCTGCAAAGGTGCAATACATCAGACGGCGAGCCTACTCCTCCCGACAGTCTAAGCAATAGTACACTCACGACATCGCCCGAGCCCGTATCTTTTAACGTAGTATTTTCGAGCACTTATCCGCTTCAATCCCAATTGAATGATTTCATTCTAACTCAAATGCGACCCTCGCAGCAAACCGCTCCACGTAACCTAATTAATAATGCAATTTCAATGCCGATCGAACTCCCGAGAACCGCGCAGCATATTTCGTATAATCAAATAGTAAATATAATACCTCATTTTGAGGGAAAATCATCTGAAGTAGGAAATTTCATTGCTCAATGTAGACTTGCCGATTCTATGGTAGGAGCTGAACATAAAGATTATTTGCTTACTGTAGCACGAGGTCGAATACAATATCGCGTTTATGACAGCATAGTAGGCGAGGATAGGCAGGAAAATATTGAAGAATTGATTGCCTTAATAAAATCCGCGTATGCTCAACATTTTGATCTAAGCGCTGTTCAGGACGAATTAAAGGCTATTCAACGTTTCGACCGCAAGACAATAAATGAATTCGGACTTAGAGTACAGAACATATTAAATTTTGGTGTTCGAGAAGCACACGAAAATTACAATTCCGAGCAATTTGTAGGGATTAGAGCTATTCTTATCGAAAACGCGATACAGGGATTTTTAAGAGGGCTACGTAATTATATTATTGCAGGAATAGCTTCGAGAGACGATATAAAAGATTTGAGATCGGTCATTGCCCTAGCTTCTAAAATAGAACGCAATATAGATCCCATAGAACCACCGAAAAACAAAACCCCTTTCTACGTTAACCCTAGAATTTTATCCACGGAAATGCACGAGTTTAAATGTTTCATTTGCGAGAAATCCGGCCATATCGCTGCAACCTGTCGATCGGGACCGAACCATCAATTCAATGGGTCAAATAATAGCTATACCGTTAGACGTCGAAAATGCGGGAAAGCAGGTCATACGGATAAGCAGTGTCGTCGAAACGATAATGTCCGCGCCAGACAGAATCCGCGACCTCTAATACCGTTAACCTCCGAAAACAGTGGGAATAATCCTTTAAACTCCAGAGGGGCTCCGCTGCTAGGCGCGATACGGAGAGAACCCCTAATTTCCCGCGCCGAATCCACTGCGTCTGCTATGAAACCGGTTTAAATAGCGTCGTGCAATCACCAGCTACTTTCTTAACACACGACTATTTTCACCAGGGCTTCGCTGAATTTTTAGTAGACACAGGTTCACAGCTTAACCTAATAAAATAAAGCGAATTAAAATCTGATATACCAGTTGATATTGAAATAATTTATCATCTAACCGGCATTGGTTCAGGAACAGTCCAAACGCGAGGCGAAGTAATCATCTTCATTTGCAACACCCCCATACATTTTCAACTGGTCGATAACGACTTTCCAATTAAGGAAGTCGGAATTTTAGGAGTCGCGTTCCGACAAAAACAACAGGCAACCCTTAAATTTAAAGAAAATTTTCCATGTATTCTGTCTTTCGAAAAAAAGAATTTGTTCGCGTCCACCTTTTCATCACACGTCTTACCCCCGCGAACGAAAGTTTTGATCTCGGTCTCCGCCGGGAATAATAATCAGTTGAGCTACGTTACACGGATTGATGCTGGACCTGGCATTTTCGTAGGTGATATTCTGGCCAGCCAACAAAATGGCCTGGTCAAACTATACGCAATTAATACAACTTGCAACCACGTTACTATTACAATTCCCCCTGTCGATCTAGAGGAATTTGATTCGCGACCTCCTGCACTCCGTTCTTCTCGTACAGGAAATCCGGCCGCAGACAAATCGGAGGATCACGCTCGAAGGCTCAGTGAAATTCTTAGGTTTCTTGAATTAGGTCACCTTCATGAATCCATAAAAAGTAGTATTTTAGAAATCATCAACGAGTTTCCGTATCAGTTCCATTTACCTAGTGATAGATGAAAGGCAGGTAATGTTCCCCATCATGCCATTAACACAACTGACAAATTACCTATAAACACGAAGCAATATAGATTTCCGCCGGTCCACAAAAACGAGATAGAAACCCAAGTAAATTCACTAATTGAGAGCGAAATAATTCAGCCATCGTTGTCCCCTTATAATTCTCCTTTATGGATTGTCCCCAAAAAACCCGATTCATCTGAGAAGCCTTGATGGCGCATGGTTATTGACTATCGCAGGTTAAACGAAAAAACCGTGGCGGATGCCTACCCCCTTCCTAATATTACGGAAATGTTAGATCAGTTAGGCGAAGCTAAGTACTTCAGTACGTTAGATCTAGCATCCGGATTTCATCAAACTCCCGTAGATCCTGCATCTAAGCCCAAAACGGCTTTTTCGATTCCTCATGGCCACTTTGAGTTCAATCGGATGGCATTTGGTTTGAAGAATGTCCCTGCTACTTTTCAACGGATCATGGATCTGGCATTATCCGAATTGCAAGGCACAGAGTTATTTGTTTATATGGACGATATAGTTATTTACGCGTCCTCCCTTTCAGAACACGCACGCAAATTAAGGGCCCTTTTGGCACGTTTGCAAAACCCTGGTCTAACTTTACAACCAGAAAAGTGCCATTTCTTACAGAAAGAAATTGCGTACTTAGGGCATAAAATTACTAGTGAGGGAGTGAAACCTGACCCAGACAAAATTCGAGCTGTAAAAAACTTCCCAATATCGAAAACTCGGAAAAACATCAAGCAATTCTTAAGCCTTGTAGGTTATTATCGGTGTTTTATACCCAATATGGCTAAAATTGCAAAACCGCTAAAAAAGCTCTTAAAGAAAGACGTACCTTTTCGTTGAACCGCGGATGTCCAAACTTCTTTCGAAATTTTAAGAGACGGTATTTGTTCGGAACTCCTGCTGCAATTTCCCAACTTTTCACAACCATTTCTCGTTATCATCGACGCCTCCGACTTTGCGGTAGGTGCCATTTTGAGCCAGGGACCAGTAGGAAAGGATCTCCCTATCGCATACGCCTCTAGAACCTTGAACGAGGCTGAAATAAATTATTCTACCATAGAAAAGGAACTTCTGGCGGTCTTATTCGGAGTAGAACATTTCCGACCTTACCTGTACGGCCGACAATTTACATTAGTCACTGACCACCGACCTCTAGTATGGCTACATAATGTCAAAGATCCCACTTCTAAAATAATGAGATGGCGAATCAAGTTAAATGAATATGATTATAACATAATATACAAGCCTGGAAAAGTTAATGCAAACGCCGACGCACTTTCGCGCAATCCCGCTGGTCCCGCGGCAAATCCCAATTCTCAATTGCCACCTGCCCAACCCGACACGGATTCCAATCCTGATCCGAGGTGTCTGGAAAGGGTGCTCGTCTGCGCAGTCAAAGCACCAGTTGTAGACTCCGAAATGGACGGGATAGATGAAGTATCATGCGCCGAAAATGATAGTCTTATCGCCTCTGTGTTCCTAGCGCGCAGGAAAACAGTGGTAAAATTAAACGAGATCACCAATAGAGTCCGAGAAATATCCGAAAAGTCATTTACATTAGTGAACAGTTCGCGAGAATTGCATAAAGGAAATCCCCAATTGAGCACCCCAGAGTCTCATTGACTCAGTTCATCGTTGGCTAACGGGTGTATAATCCGAACCCCAGGAATCCGCTTCGTGGGCTGTGAGAGGGAATCTGTGCTCGATGTGCATCTTGTGTCGTCTCAGGGGAGAGGGGCGCCCCGTGTGAAAATCCCATCCGGTCAAAGGAACCGGGTAGAAGGCTGCCTCGATCAAGGGAATCGAGGTTGGCACAGGGATAAATCCCATCCGGTCAAGGGAACCGGGTGGAAGGCCACCTCGGTCAAGGGAATCGAGGTTGGCAGGGGAAAGTGTGAATGTTAGCGACCAAGACTGCACAGGGGAATCCAGTAGAGTAACCTCGCCGGGAAATTCTGTAAATTTTAAAGAACCACTAGTACAAAACATTAATAATGAAAATAGAATAAATATTGGAAAAAGAATTTTGCTTACTAACTTCGACGTAAATAGATCAACGGCATCTTCTCCCTTATCCCCCACCATATTTCACAAAAAGGATCACCTCTTCGTACAGCGAGATAATCTCGCCCACTTTACCTCCTTAAATCGCAGGGACACCTCTCAAACTACTGAGGGCTTACTAGGCCAAATTGAATTTTCAATGGGGCAGATACAGCAATACCAGGCCAATGTTGGTGATGCTATGGCTTTCCCAAACGACAAATATTCCATTTAATTCTTAAGACCGAACCCCAAGACGAATTTAACCTTGATCATATCAAATCTTCGTTAAAATCACTTAAAGTCCTTTTAGACTCTTTGCATTCGAAAACCTTCAGCATATTAATAGACTCGGATAGGTTCAATTCTTCCGAACAAAACAACATATTGGATCTGCTTAGGGAGATTTTTAATGATCCACTATATGTAATTACAATGTGCAGTAAAGAGATTATAATTCCGCTCAAGACGAGACGCCCCCAAATCATTAAGGAACATCATGAATCGGTAATTGGAGGCCACCGAAGCTCCTTTAAACTTCGTCAGCTTATCCAAGAACGTTTCTATTGGCCAGGCATGGCAAAAGAAATCGTTGAATTTGTTCGATCCTGTCCCACCTGTCAAACAAACAAAAATTACACTTTTAAAACTAAACAACCGATGCAGATCACGGATACTCCCAAACGCGCTTTTGAAAAGATACAAATGGATATAGTCGGACCCTTACCCGTAACTAGTAAAGGAAATCAGTATTTACTCACCCTACAGGATAATCTCACTAAATATTCAGATGCAATTCCATTACGTTAGTATAGACACAGCAACTGTTGTATATGCTCTTGCTGGCCAGTTCATCAGTAGATTTGGCTGTCCAAGAGTTATTCACACTGACCAAGGAAGGAATTTCATCAGCCAAACCATGAAAAATTTCTGCAAAATTTTTAAAATTCAAAGAATGACATCCACTGCTTTCCACCCACAATCTCTAGACTCACTCGAAAGAGCACATCGTGTTTTTATTAATTACCTTAAGCATTATTGTACAAAAACAGGTTGGGATGATTGGATAAGATTTTGCATTTTTTCCTATAATACCTCAGTACATGAGGCCACAGGTTTTACTCCCCACGAGTTAATTTTTAGTGTAAAGGCTAACATACCCTCGCAATTCTTGATAGGGCAAACGCCTCGAACGTTTGCACAGCATCTCGATGAGCTCATTACAAAGATCACCACCACTCATACAACGGCGGCACAGAACCTAGTAAAGGCCAAACACAGAAGTAAAGCTTACTACGACCAAACATTGAAACCATGTAAATTTAATGTAAATAACATTGTATACTTACTCAAGGAACCAAAAACCTCAAAATTTGATTGCGATTGGCGAGGCCCCTTGTAACGAAACATTCGTTACGTGGCCGCGCGGGGACAAGTACGCACGTCGGCCGACAGGCGGCGAGCGAAAACAGGCGGTCGCTCTTACAGTACCCCCTGACGCGGCTGAGATAATCAGTCTTACCTGGTCTTGTAATCCGAAGACAACTTAATTTTTGCGAGCGCTTGGAGATTGCCCACGCTCAAAAGAATAAGTACAGACTAAGCCTACCAACCCGTGTCTGCCTATTCCTCTGCATCTCTCTCGGTTGTACGGAGAGTGCCTGTGACCGAGTGGAGTGTGTAGAGCGATAACCTTCTGACCGTCCTGACTATCTGCGTACCGCGCCTTGGGTGTACGGAGAGTGCCCGTGCCCAAGTGTACAGTAACGCGATTCCGTCATCCTGTACACTGTACTTCCCCCGCCACAAGTGTTTGGAGACTGCCCGAACCTGTGCGGAGGAGTGCACGGTACGACCCCCACTCGTCCCGCCGTCAGAGTGCTCGCTCGGGTGTATGGAGATTGCCCGTGCCCGAGTGCAGCAGTACCGAACCAGTCCGTAATAACCCCTCCCTTCACAGGCGTTCGGAGAGTGCCTGAGCTTGTTGGAGAGAATACACTCCTCGTTCCTCGTCCGTCCGCGATCGCATCGCTGCACTCGTGTTTCCCCACCAGCGTGCACTCGACGTCGACGATCAGAGATTGCCCGAGTCGACGCGAGGAACTCCACTGACCGTCCCCGCCCCGCTGTCACCGCTCTACGGGTCAAGACCAGTACCGCGGTTGTAGATATACCATAGTTCATAGTTAATAAGTACTTAGCAATAATCAATCATAGTCATAACCCGTGTATATATATCTAGTTCTGACTCTAGCGTAAGCTGAAAAATAAAACATATTTATTACAGCAACCCAGCGAACATTTATTCTCCACCTAAATCCCGAACCCGGCGTACCGATTGAGCTCGGCACTCCCATCGAGTAACTGTCACACCCTACAAAATAAACCGAATGTTTGACGACCTAACCGCGGAAGTAGCATTAGGAAAAAATAAATTTAAAATAGTTCATACAAATAAACTTAAATTAGCACACATAAAATTAGACTAATGTATAAGGATTATTCGGACCATCTGTATTATTTATATTCAACACACCCTTAGTATGTACTCGTATTATGTACTGCCTTTATCTTTAATATCTTGTTAATTATATGTCCGTCATACAATGTATATCAAAACTCATCGAACTTTTCATTGCGGGTCAGTAAGTAAATTCTGAACCATGCGTGCGTTACCGCTTATATTTACCATAAGTACCGTTGTACTTACTTTGTATATATCGATCAAAATCCGAATTGCCTCAGGGCAATACAGAATATCATGGTTCATTGTTCAACTAATAAAATAATTTTTTAGAACAAAAATTTAACCGACTTCGAAAAAGGTGCAGTGAAAAGTATGAAATAAGTTATAGTCAATTTATATGAATACGCACTGGCTCTAGATATAATTGCTTAAAAATAATTTTTTGGAAACAAAATTTAACCGACTTCAAAAAAGGTACAGTGAAAAGTATGAAATTATTTCTAGTTAATTTATATGAATACGCACTAGCTCTAGATATAATTGCTTAAAAGTATGGGAAAATGCAGTGAAAAGTGTGAAATAATTTCTATTTAAACTGCACTGTTATTCACCATCGTTTGGTGAATTTGGTTAAATTATTAAATACATCATATTAAATGCAATGCACCTTTTTCGGAGGCGGCGCAGATGTAAAAATTTTTTAATTCCGGTTTGGGTTAGCTTTTGGTAGAGGCGGCAATATTGAATGCTGTCAATGTATACATGTTTATTGTCTATGAGGAATTAATAGTTAATGTATATAGTATGTACACGGAAATATAGTGTGAGTAGATTTGAGGCTTTTTTGGAGGGGAGTGGCGGCCATATTGATTACTGCTAATGTATAAACTCTCCACATGGAAATACTGTTTGAATAGGTTTGGGATAGTATTTGGTGAGGGTGGCGATATTGAATAGTGTTAATGAATATGATGTCTAAAGCGGATATAGTAATAGCAATAATTAATGTCATATTTTTTGTTCCTCGAACAGATAGTTAAACCAAGTTTGATAACATTTAATTTTGGGGATAGCTGAGACGATGCTGAACTACGATTTTGTTTGCAAAAATTTCGAATGCTGTCGAATATTAATGAAAACGAAGCACTATCCGCAAAGGAAATTGTGGTTCAGAATTGTCTCAGCTAGCCCACATTTCCGGTTCTTACACTAATCGAAAGTCACTCTGTATACTCTACCCATGGAAATACTGTCTGAATAGGTTTGGGATAGTATTTGATGGCGGCGGCGATATTGAATAGTGTTAATGAATATGATGTCAAAGTGGATGTAATGATAGCAATAAATAAAGACCATATTTTTTGTTTCTCCGACAGAACGTTAAATCAAGTTTAGCAATTTTTAATATACTTAATTCTAAATTGTGACCGAAAAAGGTGCATTGCATTTAATATGATGTATTTAATAATTTAATCAAATTCATCAAACAATGATGAATAACAGTGCTGTTTAAATAGAAATTATTTCACACTTTTCACTGCATTTTCCCATACTTTTAAGCAATTATATCTAGAGCTAGTGCGTATTCATATAAATTAACTAGAAATTATTTCATACTTTTCACTGTATCCTTTTTGAAGTCGGTTAAATTTTTTTTCCAAAAAATTATTTTATTGGAAAATGCATTTGGAAGCAGTAACCCCACCGAAATAGCGCTCGAATACACACAGGACATACCAGCACTAATCAAAATGCTCTTTGAAATCTATCCTCTTGTTACGTATACAGAAACTCTCCGTTTTTTAGAAGCTCGCGTGCATT